GTGCTAGGAAAGCACTTTGTATAATTTTCTAAAAAATGCAAGGATAGCAAATGAGATTTTTTTTTTGTCAGTCGTGGGGCTTGAACTCTGGGCCTGGGCACTGTCCCTGTGCTCTTCAGCTCAAGGCTAGCACTCTACCACTTGAGCCACAGCACCACTTCCAGCTTTTTTCTTGATTTTTCTTTAAATATAAAAAAGACATGGACTTTACAACGTGGGGGAGGGTTTGGGGGGGAGGAATGGTAGGGGAAAAACAAAGGGGCTAACAGTGCTTGGTAGGAACTGTAACCTCTGTACAGTATCTTCATGATAAAAATATTAAAAAATGGAATCAAATGACTTGTATTTGCAGGCCTTGGACAAGATTCGCTATGAGAGTCTGACAGACCCTTCCAAATTGGACAGCGGCAAAGAGCTGAAAATTGACATCATCCCAAACCCTCAGGAACGGACCCTGACTCTGGTGGACACAGGCATTGGCATGACCAAGGCTGACCTCATAAATAACTTGGGAACCATTGCCAAGTCTGGCACTAAGGCATTTATGGAGGCTCTTCAGGTATGGCATGTCTCATGTTCACATCACCACTTAGCACTGTTGCTGCCTGTTAACTTTCTCTAAACTTGTTTGGATTGAAATCTTTTATAGGCTGGTGCAGACATCTCCATGATTGGGCAGTTTGGTGTTGGATTTTATTCTGCTTATCTGGTGGCAGAGAAAGTAGTGGTGATCACAAAGCACAATGATGATGAGCAGTATGCTTGGGAGTCCTCTGCTGGGGGCTCCTTCACTGTCCGAGCAGACCATGGTGAGTAGGCTGTCCCCATTGAGTGGGCAGCTTGGGGTGGATTCTCTTTTTTTTTTCATGGGGCCTGAACTCTAGGCCTGGGTGCTGTCCCTTAGCTTGAGGCTAGCACTCTACCTTTTGAGTCACAGTACCACTTTTGGCTTTATCTGCTTATGTGGTGCTGAGGAATCTAACCCAGGGCCACATGTATGGAGGCAAGCACTCCAACACTGAGCCACCTTACTAGCCCCTGGGGTGGGTTCTCTAGGTAAGCAAATGCCACTCTTTCTGTGTGCCCTCCTGTGCTGATACAGGGCCTTGGAATCAGGCCCAGGGTGCTGCAGCATTAGTTTTTTACCTGGAGGCTGGTGGTTGACAATTTGAGCCATACTTGTGCTTATTTATTGCTGGTTAGTATTTGTAAAGCAGTTTATTTTCACTATAGTCAATGTTCAACATGACATCTTCCAAACTTAAAGTCAATTCTTTCCTAGGTGAGCCCATTGGCCGGGGTACCAAAGTGATCCTCCACCTCAAAGAAGATCAGACAGAGTATTTGGAAGAGAGGCGGGTCAAGGAAGTCGTGAAGAAGCACTCTCAGTTCATAGGCTATCCCATCACCCTCTATGTAAGTGTGGGCTGGAACCTGTGTCTGCTGTTTTGGAAGCTCATGTCCTCTGACTTGGCTTTCCTGGTGTTGCATTCTCCAAAATTTTAACTGTTAAATCTGGCATTTTAGTTGGAGAAGGAACGAGAGAAGGAAATCAGTGATGATGAGGCAGAGGAAGAGAAAGGTGAGAAAGAAGAAGAAAAGGATGATGAGGAAAAGCCTAAGATTGAAGATGTGGGATCAGATGAGGAAGATGACAGTGGTAAGGAGAAGAAAAAGAAGACTAAGAAGATTAAGGAAAAGTACATTGATCACGAAGAACTGAACAAGACCAAGCCTATTTGGACCAGAAATCCTGATGACATCACCCAGGAGGAATATGGAGAATTCTATAAGAGCCTTACCAATGACTGGGAAGATCATTTGGCAGTCAAGGTGAGGTTTATTCTCATTTTCCTTGTGTGGACTAAACGAGAGCAGGTGCAAACTATTGACAGGGAATGTGGCACAGAAGTGGCCTAATTGATTGTAGCTAGGAACAGAGAAAGCAGTTGGCCAGAATGGAGAAACAGACCATTGGTTCTGATGTACCCCACAGGCTTAATGTTCTGCACGGATTGTGTATAACCAGTACCATTGTAGACTTATTTGGTGTTGGCTCAGAGGAAGTTTCTCAGTGATCCTTGGGATACCGTTTAGTTTTATTTAAATGCTTTAGTGTATGTGACTAAGAAGTGTGTTCAAATTAGCTCATAATTTTGGGTTATTTCAGCACTTTTCTGTAGAAGGTCAATTGGAGTTCAGAGCATTGCTCTTCATCCCCCGCCGGGCTCCTTTTGACCTCTTCGAGAACAAGAAAAAGAAGAACAACATCAAACTCTATGTCCGTCGTGTGTTCATCATGGATAGCTGTGATGAGTTAATACCTGAATATCTCAGTGAGTATCTCTGAGGCTGTTGCCTAGGAGTGAGTGTCTTTGGTTGGTTATAGATCTCCAGTTTATTGCAGTGGTCCTTTGCAGCACGCTAGGTAGCAGAGGTTTGTGGGAAGAGTAGAACTTTTTCTGCTTTGTGGGCAGTCAGGTCTGGTCCAGCTGTGCTGAACTTTTATGTCTGATTGCAGACTTTATCCGTGGCGTGGTTGACTCTGAGGACCTACCCCTGAACATCTCTCGGGAAATGCTCCAGCAGAGCAAAATCTTGAAAGTCATCCGTAAAAATATTGTGAAGAAATGCCTTGAACTCTTTTCTGAGCTGGCAGAAGACAAAGAGAACTATAAGAAATTCTATGAGGCATTCTCAAAGAACCTAAAGGTGAGACTGATGTTTAATTCTGCTGATACCACACTTAGCAAGTAGGGTGCTTCCCCATTCAGAGTACCAGGTTCCAGTTGGATTATTTATTCTCTCCTATTCCAAAAGCTTGGCATCCATGAGGACTCTACTAACCGGCGGCGCCTTTCTGAACTGCTGCACTATCACACTTCCCAGTCTGGAGATGAGATGACTTCTCTGTCAGAATATGTCTCTCGCATGAAGGAGACACAGAAGTCCATCTACTACATCACTGGTGCGTTGGACCCGGGTCTTGATCCAAAGGGGTTCTGTGGGTAAGGACAGGTAGAGGGACATATCCCTGCTTCCTGGGAACTGGCACTAGGAAGGTTACATTTAATAATTCAACTTGCAGGTGAGAGCAAAGAGCAGGTTGCCAACTCTGCCTTTGTGGAGCGAGTGCGTAAGCGGGGCTTTGAGGTAGTGTACATGACGGAGCCCATTGATGAGTACTGCGTGCAGCAACTCAAGGAGTTTGACGGGAAGAGCCTGGTCTCTGTGACCAAGGAGGGTCTGGAGCTGCCAGAGGATGAAGAGGAGAAAAAGAAAATGGAGGAGAGCAAAGCCAAGTTTGAGAACCTTTGCAAGCTCATGAAAGAGATCTTGGATAAAAAGGTTGAGAAGGTGAGCCATTTAGGGACGAAGTTATACTACTTGTAACCACCTGCACCTGTGGGTCAGACTTCTGCTAGTGGAGATCCCAGCGAGTTTACTGTTAAATCATTTTATGTCTTGCTTGGTTTCTTAGTCACATTTGAGGATCATTGCTAGAGTAGGAACTTTTTTGTGCCAGTATTGGGCCTTGAACATGGCCTAGATCCTGACTGTCTTTTAAGCTTTTTTTGCTCAAGGCTAGTGTGCTCTACCTTTTTTTTGGGGGGGGGGGGGGTCCGGTAGTGGGGCCTGAACTCTGGGCCTGGGCGCTTTCCTTCAGCTCAAGGCTAGCATTCTACAACTTGAGCCACAGCGCCACTTCCAGCTTTTTGCTTACGTAGTGCTGAGGAATCGAACCCAGGGTCTCAAGCATGCAGGGCAAATGCTCTTCTGCTGAGCCACCTTCCCAGCCCCAATCTCATACATTTTCTTTGCTGCCTGGGCCTCATAGCATCAAAGATCCTCAGGTCCTAGCCTCCTGAGTAGCTAGGATTACAGGTATAACTCATAGATCTTGTCAATACTGTTTATTTCTCCTTAACTATGTCGTGAGATTTTATATGTCAGTCCTGGGGCTTGAATTCAGGGACTGGATGCTGTTCTTGGCTGGGCTTTGCCCTTGGCTTGTCTCAACTAGCCTAGAGTAGCCATGAGCCTCCTGACTACAGATGCTGCCACCCTACCCTGCTGAACTCTTTTAACTGTCCACAGGTGACAATCTCAAATAGGCTTGTGTCTTCCCCCTGCTGCATTGTGACCAGCACATATGGCTGGACAGCCAACATGGAAAGGATCATGAAGGCCCAGGCGCTTCGAGACAACTCCACCATGGGCTACATGATGGCCAAAAAGCATCTGGAGATGAACCCCGACCACCCCATTGTGGAGACGCTGCGACAGAAGGCGGAAGCAGACAAAAATGACAAGGCTGTCAAGGACCTGGTCGTGCTGCTGTTTGAAACTGCGCTGCTTTCTTCTGGCTTTTCCCTGGAAGACCCCCAGACCCACTCCAACCGCATCTACCGCATGATCAAACTTGGCCTGGGTAAGCTGGAGTCTAGTGAGCTTATGGCTAGTTGTGGGACTGGTCTCAAGTTCTAACCTGTTTTTCTTGTGAGACTTACTTTTTTTTCTTTTAATTTTAGGCATTGATGAGGATGAAGTGGCAGCAGAGGAGCCCAGTGCTGCTGTTCCTGATGAGATTCCCCCACTGGAGGGCGATGAGGATGCCTCTCGCATGGAAGAAGTAGATTAGAAACTCCCACTGGGAAGGAAGCCTGCGCCCTCCTCTGTATAGTGTCCCCACGCAGCCTAAACTGGCCCTGTCCCACCCCCCCTCCCTCTGCTGATGATTATCTTCTCTCCTGTCCCAAGTCCCAGGCAGGAAACAAGGGATTCAAGCCCTAACCCCCTCCCTCCCTCTGCCAGCAGGGTTGGGTGTTGTGTATTGTGTTTTTTTTTTTGTGTTATGAGATTAAAAGTATGCAAAATAAAAGACGGAGTTTTATACAACTCTCTCCCTTGTAAAGTGGATATTGCTGCTTTTTTGCTACAGCAAGCCCACGTGGTGTTCTCAAACCAGTCCCTTAAACTAGGCCAAAACACCAGACCACTTCCATTGCAGCTCTTTTAATAAAGTTAAAAGAAGTAACATTTCCCAAATACTAAAACCTGCAAGTGGCTCCTGGGGCAGAGCCCAGGACCCCGACAGTGCTAGGGGCAGGACTGCCCAGCACCATCCCCACTGTCCTGGGGAAGCTTGAGGCTTCTCTTCCCTGGAGTAAACAGGAGGGGACGAGGACAGGGAACTTGGGGTCAGAACCCCTTAAGTACCTTGGGCCAACAAATGGCATCCCCTCCACCTCAACTCCACCCTGGGACTACTGGCAAATGGATGGGGTCTTAAGGCAAAAGAAAGGCTGCCTCCTCACCCCACAGCTTTTCCAAACAGCTGGTCTGATACTGAGAAGATACTGCCAGAGGCAGAGAACACTGGTGTGGTGAGGTCCTTTCGCTTGCCTCAGGCACTGTCCCCTTAGACTTGTACAGGAGGTTCAGTGGGGACAGCCTTCTTCCCCCGCTGTTTTAGCCGTCCCCGGGCATAGACTCTGAGTAGGAGGGCAGCAAAGACCACAGCCACCCCAAGTCCCCCTACCACGGTGATGGTGTGCCCATAGAGCAGGCAGGAGAGCAGGATGGCAATGGCCTGGCGGAGGGTCATGATGATGGTGAAGACAGCAGCCCCAAACTGCCCAATGGTGTAGAAGATGAAGATCTGGCCACACGCAGAGCAGACTGAGAGCAGAAGGGCGTGCGCAGCAAACTCGCTGTGCCGCCCCATGAAGCGGGTCCCCTCTAGCAGGGCGCCCTGCTGCAGCAGGGAGACAACTGTGAAGAGGCAGGAGAAGAAATTGACACCAAACATCATCTGCACTGAGGACATCTTATAGGCGAAGAGGGCATCCTGCCAGTTTGAGGTGAAGCTGTCAAAGGCAATGTAGCCGGCCAGTAAGATGAGGCCTGAGAGTGTAGTGGCCCGGGAGCTGCGGGGCTCTGGTCCACTGGACAGCAGGAACATGCTGACCCCAATGGAGATGAGGCCAGCTGTCAGGTACTCCCAATGCTCGTAGCTGCGCCGAGACACCAGCTTTCCCATCAGCATGACGGGAATCACCTTGGAGGCCTTGGCCAGCACCTGCGTGGGGAAGCTAATGAACTTGAGAGCTTCGTACTGGCACCAGCTGCTAAGCACATTGGTCAAGCTGGCAAAGGAGTACCGGTACATGGGTGCCCCGTGGCGGGGCTGCTTGCAGAGGACACAGTAGAGGCCAGCCACAACCAACGCCAGCACGCGGTTCATTAGCACCAGGAACTGCGAGTCTGTGAAGCGTTCACCTGGTGATGTGGCGGTGGCCCCATAGCTGCGGGTCATGACTCTTTCCTGCAACACGCCCCAAGTCAGGTAGGACACCTGGGTGAGGGAGGGTGGAGACAGTAAACAAGAGGAGGAAAAGCTCTCAACTGCTTCCCTCGCCCATTCTGGAAAATTCTAAGTGATTTCATGGACAGTGTGTGTATGTGATCTGGTTGCTCTGTAGCTGCTTCCTCTTCCTCCCAAGGCCAGATTCACTTGTAAGGAATCAAGTGTGTGAAAAAACAGTAACCCGGCTTTAGGGCTGCCCAGACCCCGACTGTCCCTGTAGTTGGCATGTTCCAGCTGGCTCCATTCCAAGCGTTTTCCTATCAGGGAGGGGTGGACTCCTAAACTGAACACAGTATGAGCTGAACCTGTGTGAAATGCCCCACCCCACCCTTGCACCTCACCTGCAGTACTGAATTCACTCCCCAAACTTTAACGAGTTACGACGTCTATGATAGGGCAGTGCAGAGGAAAGTGTAACAGCAAAGCAGAAATTATCAGAAAGTGAGTAAGACGGGTGCTCTTCTGCACTCAATGTGAAGCAACAGTGTACCCTAACTTTCAAGACCAATGCTAGGGGAGGGAAGAGGCAGAGGGCTGTGTAGAAAACACACCAGCAAACCTTTGGGATGAACAGGTTGAAAACTTTTGAGTCCCTGCCCATGGGTACCCAACCCAGGAAGAGAAGTGGAGTCAGCCTACCTACCTGGAGCCCTGAGGCACAGAAGACCAGCTTCAGGGCCTGCCAAGAGGGGGTGGTCTCTACTGTCTCTGTCCGGGGAGCCAGGGGAGCCTCATCAGAGGCCTTGGGCTCATTGCCAAACACACAGGCTTTCACCAGAGGGAAGCAGAGACCTCTGCCTAAGGAAGACACACAAAATCAAGTCCCAGACCACCGCCAGCGGCCAGCCTCCCCCTCTCCCCCCGCCTTCCCCGCCCGTCCCACTCCCAAGTTACTGCCAAGCCCTAAAGCCGGACCTAGAGGCTTCCCCACCCTGTCGTCTCCACACACCTGTCTCCAGGTAGTTCTTCCGCCTGAAGTACTGCACCAGGAGGTAGCCGGGCACCATGATGCTGCCATAGCCGGCGGCATTCACCAAAAAGCGGAAGAGCCACAGCTGGGTCCACGCCTCCGGAGGGGCTTCGGGCGCGTCCCCCCCGGCCCCCGGGGAGGGCAGCGCGGCCAGCACCAGCAGGGCGCACCACCTGCGGGCACGGGGCCGGGGCCGGGGCCGCGGTCAGGCGGCGCTCCGAGGGGCCGCGCTGCTGGAGACGCGCCGCCCCCCTCCCCGCCCCCTCCGCCGCCGCGCGCCGGACAAAGAGCCTCTCTTCTCCGGCGGGGGGCCCGGCGGGCCGCCTCCCTCCCCTCCCGGGCGGACCCAGCCCGCGGCCACACAGGCGCCTCTGTTCCTCCCGCGCGGGCCGCGGGCGCCCCTCCCCCGCCGGGGCTCCAGCCCTCCCGCCCGGACCCCCCGCGGGCACGCAGGGCCGCGCCGCGCCGCGGTCCCCGCCAGCTCGGGGCCGCGCCACGCGTCCGGCGTGGACGGGCCGCGCGGCGCCCGGGACCCCCACCCGGACCCCGGCGGTCACGTGGGCCGGGGGCTCGGTCACGTGGCCGCCGCCGTCCTAGCCCCGCACCTGGCGTCCATAGCCCGGCCGCGTGGGGCGGAGGGGGGCCGGGGAAGGCGAGTCCCCGGGCCGCGCGCTCCCTCCGCCGCCTCCTCCGGCTGCCAGCAAGCGCTCTGGAGGCCAGCGGAAGTGCCGCGCTCTTCCCGCCTCCCTCCCTCCTGCCTCCCGCGGCCGCCTCGCCGCCCCGCCGCGGCCCCGCAGCGCCCCCGCGCGGCCTGGAGGCGCCCGCCGCCGGCAGGGAGCCCGGCCCGCGTTCCAGTCCCGTGGCCACGCGCGGGCCTGGGGCCAACAATCCCGCCCCGTGGGCGGGGGCAGCGAGGCCCTGCGCCCCCCAGCTCGGGCTCCGGCCTGGGGGATGCCTTCTTCCCGTTTTTGCTAAGCCCGGCCACCGTCCCCCGACCCCGCGACCTTCCAGGCTGAACGTGACCTGGTCCACCGCTCTCGCCCACTCTCCTGCAGAGCTCCGCGGCCGCTCTCAGTTCCGCTCAGTCACCAAAGGCCTCCCCGTGCTCGGCCCCCTTCCCAGCCCTCAGGTGTCCCGGCCACCCAATCCGGTCCTGGTCCTCCACCCGCCTCACTGGTCCTCCCTGCCCAGCTCCCACCTCCACTTGTGAGGACAAACGTGGTGCTGATGACTTTAATGGTCAGTCTTACTAGACTAGGAGCTTTCAGTCAGAAGCCGCGTGGTTTACCGCTCCATGTTCTTGTTGCCAGTCATAGGCTGACCCAGTATGGCCCTCAGCCTGTGGAATGGGAGGGAACTGGAGGGCTGTTTCCCCGCTCAGCCTCCCCATGCTCCAACAGATGGCAGCCCCAGGGCTTGTATCTTCTTAGTCCTCCTCCCTCTCCATCCTTCTGCATTTCCACAGGAAAGATACAAGCTGTGCTGGTCAGAAACAGACCTGGGAATTCTCAGATCCCTACCTGGCTCTAGCAAGATTCAGCCTTGCTCAGGGGACAATTTCCTTCTTTGCCTCTACCTTTGCCACAAGATTGCAGGGAAGGCCTAACTACAGAAACAGCTCTAGAAGAAAAACTTTTTTGTTTGTTTTGTTTTTTTTAAGTCTGCCATTTAGTGTCATGTTACTGAAATATCCCTTCCCAAAGTTCAGGGCTTCTGTAAGAAGTCTTCAACATCAGTGTTTTAGATGAGACCCTTGGGGCCTGGGCCTCTCCCTTTATCCTCTTGCAGTCTCTTATTCAGAGGGATCCATGTTTTCCTGCTGCTTGGCATTTCAGCCTGATCCAACATGTGTAGAAATACGGGACCCAACCCTGCCATCTTCAACAGATGCTAGTGGGCTTCACCCAGGATAGCTGGGGCTTTGAGAGGGTCCTCCAAAACTCTTCATCCAGTCCATCCCAGAAGTTCTTCCTTCCATCCAGAACAGCCTTTTCTCACTTGCAATCCTCGCTCTCAGTTCTGGACTGTCCGGGCCCCAGGCTCTGGCCTCAGCAGTCCCTAGGACACCAGAATTGCTTGTTTCTAAACTGCAGCCTCCATATGGGGAGAGGCAGAGTCCTCAGGACACTGGGTTCAGTCAACACACAGCAGTGGCTTTCCTGAGATCTTCAGGTCATCGAAGGGCAGAAGTGTCAGGGGCTGAGAAAGAAGGGAAGGAAGGTTAGTCACAGGAGAGAGCTGGGGAAACTGGCTTCCCACCAGAGTTGAAAAACATCAGAAATGTATCTTCTTACGAATTCCCCAGATGTGGCTGATCTGGGCATGGCACAACTCCAAGGCCTTACTCAAGCTCTCATTCTTCAAAATGATGCAGCAGCTGGGTGGACACCAGTGGCTCATGCCTATAATCATCACTACTTAGGAAGCTGAGGTCTCAGGATCATGGTTTGACTTTCCAGCCCAGGTAGAAAAGTCCATGAGACTCTGACTTCCAATTAATGACCAAAAAATTGAAAGCAGAGCTGTGGCTCAAGTGGCAGAGTGCTAGCCATGAGTGAAAAAGCTAAGGGACAGTGCCCAACTCCTGAGCTTTAAGCTCCAGTACCAGCACAATAAATAAAATAATGCAGGATATCCAAGCTAGAAGGGAGATTGGAGGCAATCCAGTCTATGGGCCCATTTGCTGTATTTGCAGGTGTTGGGGGAGAAGTACTTATAAACATTTCTCCCCCTAGGTCTCAGGCTCAGGGTTTGTGTTGTAGTTGTTGTTGTTTAACTTTTTTTTAACACTGAACATTTGAAAACTAGAAGGACTGTACAGAATAATCTCCTTCACCTCTCAAAAGTTTCCTGGGTCTGCCACACTCTGCGTTTATGCAAGCCTTTGCCGAAGCTAAGTGGTGATCCTGGGGCGTGGCTCGGGCTTCTCACAGGCCTCAACACCTTTGGGTTGTCATACATCTGCCTACAGCTGAAATCAGCTGATTCGCTGTAACTGCAAGAAACCTTGTATGAGTCCATGTTTGGGCCTCCTGGCCCTGACCAACTAAGGAAACAGGCTCAGGTTGGAGCAGAGGGCAGCTTAGGGAGCCAAAGTCAGTAACTAACGTACCCCAAACAACCAAGTTCCAGACCCTTCTAGCTGATGGCAGTGCTTATCTGCTGTGGAGGTGGGGGCCCCAAGAGCAGAGTGGAGTGGGACAGAGCACGAGTGTCTTACATCAGCCAGGTCCTGGGGCGTCTCATCTTCCACGTTAAGCAGCAGGGAGTCAGCACCAGCCTCACACAGTGTGAATGAGATGGCCCTGAGGCCCCGGCCAGCTGCCAGGTGCAGAGGTGTGCATCCATTGAGCATGCGAGCATCGACCCGGGCACCAGCCTGCAGCAAATACTGCACCAGGCTGCGCTCCTGGGTTTCCACAGCCAGGTGCAGGGCAGTCTTCCCACTGGTGCCCTCCTGGAGAAGAAGATGGAAGTCAGCCATTGCCCTGAGGCAGTGAGCTGGGCTGAGCTCAGAAGAAGGAAGAGAGTGCCACCACTTCTTTTTTATGTTATTGGCTGGTCCTGGGGCTTGAACTCAGGGCCTGGGTGCTGTCCCTGAGCTTCTTTTGCTCAAGGCTAAAGCTCTACCACTTGAGCCACAGCCCCACTTCACCTTTTTTTTTTGGTAGTGCACTGGAGATAAGAGTCTCACAGACATCACTACCCAGGCTGGCTTTGAACTGCGATCCTCAGATCTCAGCCTCCCGAGTAGCTAGGATTGCAGGCGTGAGCCACTGGTGCCCAGCCAGTGCCACTTCTGATGCTGGCAGGTAACCTGGGGTTTACCGGGTGGGGAGAGCAGTTGGGGTAGTGCCCAAGTGGACTTACCTGGGCATCAATGTCAGCTCCACTCTGAAGCAGCAGTTCCATGAGTGGCTGGTTCTTCTGTAGGGTGGCGATGTGGAGACAGGCCAGACCTGGGGTGGGGTAGGGGCTACTGATCAGCACCCAGTGGTTCCCCCCCCCCTTCAGGGGCCATCTGCCCTCGCAGCCTCAAGGGACCTCTGCCCACTCAATGCCTCTGATCACAGGAATATTAAAATGGAACCCCAAAATCCCCCTCAAAAGTCTACAAGGAAAGGAACCCAACATGACCTTTTCAGGTCATGTTATTGAAACTTTCATGCTTCAGGGGTCAGCTACTTAGCAACAACCCCACTCATCACCCCTCTTTCCACTCTAGACTGTTACCTGCCTTCAAGCCCCATTGTGCTATCTCCTTTCTAGTGTGGATTTCCCTCCTTCCCCGGGACCCCTGCTTGTACTGAGATTTAGATTCAAATTTACATGTTTCCTCTCAAGTGTCGGTTCAAGGGTCCCTGACTCCATGAGACCTTCTCTGACCATCCCCCACCCCAGTTTAAAAAAATCACAGCTCTCCCACCCCCACATCCCAGCCCTCCCCATCCTGTTCTACTCTACCATAGCACTCGCTTCCTCTTAACATATTAAATAACCCACTTTGTGTAATGAGTGTCTGGTCTTTCTTGGCTTTGTTCAAATATAAGCCCAGCTCTTAAGATACTATCTGGCACATGGAAGACCCTCGGTAGTTTTCTGCTAGATGAATGAGAGTTCATCCTATGTCTATTAATTATTGTTTTTCGGTACTGGGGTTTGAACTCGGGACATCATGCTTCTTTGGCAGGAACTGTATCACTTGAGCCATGCCTTCCTCCGCTTCCTCTGACCCTCTTTTGCTTTGTTGGGGGTTTTTGGGCTAGAGTCTTGCTAGCTTTCTGTCCTGGCTGGTTTACCTCCTGAGCAGCTGGGATTATACACATAAGCCATTATATCTGGCTAAATACACACAGTAGGTGTGTCAAATCATTCACTCACTCACTCACTCCTTCATCCAGTCAGGATGTACTGTGTCCATGTGCTTAAAGCTCGGAAAGTATCATGGGACAGCTGGGATGTGCCCTCCCTGGTGAGGTCCCTGTCTCTTATCCCCTGTGAATCCCACAGGCTCTGGGGATGCCCGCACCTTGCCAGTTTTGCAGCTGGAGGTCCAGGGAGTGCGGTGGTTCTCGGCCTGGTTCTGGCTGCCCCTGCAGCAGGCAGCGAGCACAGGCCAGATGCTGGCGCCTACAGGCCACATGTAGCGCTGTGTCTCCGTGTCTGTCTTGTAGCAGTCGGCTGGCCCCCTTCAGCACCAGCGCCTGAACTGCCCCTGGCTGGTCGAGGTGAACAGCCAGGTGGAGTGCTGTCTGTAGGCACAGAGAGGGTGGCAGGGCTGTTAGAGCATGCTCCCGCCGCTGAGAACATGCTGGGTAGCACTAGCAATCTAGTGACTAGCACCTTCTGTTAGAGTCCTGGTCTTCCAAGCCCTTCCCTCTGTCAACCTTCACCTAGTTCTTAGGACCCCAATTCCGGAAATGGCCACCTGTTTTTGTTTTTTTGCCAGTTCTGGGGCTTGAACACAGTGTAGCCACTGTCCCTGAGCTTTATTCAAGGATAGTGCTCTACCATTTGCGCCATATCTGGCGCACCATATCTGGCCTTTGCTAAGTGGTTTATTGGTGTAAGAGTCTCATGAACTTTATTGCCCAGGCTGGCTTTGAACCTTGATCCTCAGATCTCAGCCGGCCCCTCTATTCTTCTTGTAGGTTCCTCAGCCCCTGGAGAAAGGACGTGGGGGAAGATAGTAGTCGCTTACCCTCTGGGGA